ACTTTATATCACAAATTAGACTAATAGTTTTGTCCAAATTACTTCTTCTTTCAAAAACTTTGTTTGTTTTTTACCCATGAGAAAAAATTTAATTGATTCTATTATTCCAATACATTATGAGATTTTCATTAAATCCGAAGAACATAATTTTAGTGGAGAAGTAAGTATATTCCTGACATCATTGGTTTGGATATCAACATTCCAATTCAATAGTAAAGAGCTAGGGTTAAAGTCTGTAGAGGTCTCTCAACAAGGAAGAGAAATATCTAGCAGTTATAAAAAAGTAAACGAGGAGTTTGTGGCTGTGACCTTAAGCGATCAAATTCAAGGCGAGTTCAAATTAGTGGTGGTGTATGAAGGTATATATGGAACATTAGATGGATTTTATAAATCTCAGTATAACGGTACAAATATCTTTTCTACTCAGTTTGAACCAACTGATGCTAGAAAGGCATTCCCTTGTTTCGATCAGCCAGATATGAAAGCCACATTTTCCATTAAAATTAAAGCTCCAAAAGAAAATACAATTCTGTCTAATGAAGCTGTTGTTTTTGAAGAAGAGACAGAAACACATAGAATTACAACATTTAAGAAAACACCAAGAATGTCAACCTATATTGTGGCATGGGTTATAGGACAACTTGATTATATAGAAATCGATAATGGAATCCCAATAAGAGTGTATGCTAGACATGATGAGTTAGAATGGGGTAGGTTTGCCCTAGAAATCGGTGAAAAATGTTTGAAATTTTTTGAGGATTATTTTGAAATCAAGTATCCACTTTCAAAAATCGATATGATTGCCATACCAGCATTTTCCAGTGGTGCTATGGAAAATTGGGGGCTGATAACCTTTAGAAAAACAGGGCTGCTTTGGAATCCAGAGACCTCTCTTTTGAGAAGTAAAAAAAATATTGCCAATACGGTATGCCATGAGTTGGCTCATATGTGGTTTGGAAATCTAGTAACTATGAAGTGGTGGAATGATCTATGGCTTAATGAGGGATTTGCCACATGGGCATCATCTCTTGCTATGAATTCTATTGATATGGTTGATTGGGATGTTTGGACCACATTTGCAGCCGATGATATTGAATATGGTATGAAAGCCGATTGTCTAGAAAATACCCATGAAATTGCTGTGGAAGTAAATGATCCAGACCAAATTGATCAGATATTTGATGGAATTTCTTATAACAAAGGATCATCAGTGATAAAAATGCTAGAAAATTGGATTGAACCAGAAAATTTTAGAAAGGGACTTGTTAAGTATTTGAATGAAAAACAATACGACAACGCAGAAACCGAAAATCTATGGAGTGCATTGGATCAGTTTAATGAAACAAAAATTTCAATTTCTGATTTGATGTCTTCCTGGATTAACCAAGGTGGTTTTCCGTTAGTTGAGGTTGTCGAAATGAATGATTCTCTAGTATGCACTCAAAAGATGTATACAAAAGGTTTTGAAGCCCCAACCAGACTTTGGCCCATTCCTATGAAAATTAGATGGTTTTATGATAGCAATGAAGAGGAAGTAGAAAGTATTTTGATGGAAAATAGAACTCTAACAATTCCTAAGAAATCCAACATTTATAAGTTTAACGATGAGGTGTCCGGTTTTTACCGAGTCAAGTATATTTCTAATATTCCAGAAAGACTTTTGGAGAGGCATTTGTCAGATATCAACAAATTAAATCTATTTTCTGATTTGTTTGATTTGGCATTTGCTTTGAAGACTGAATTTCCACTCCAGCTAACAACGTTAATGGCTACAGAAACGAACTATGAAGTGCTTTCTGCTGGGCTGGGATCACTATGTGTATTGAAGTCTGCTTTTTATGATAATGAAGAGATTGTGAGTAGAATCACTAGGCTTATTAATTCAATCATTGAAACTCCATTAGGAAAATTGGATTTGAGAAATCCACCAGTAAACACAAATGATTTGGCTACCGCATCTTATTTGGCTATCCTGGGAGTTAATAATGGCTCCTATACTGTTGAATCAGAAGATACTCATCAGGAATTCAGACGATCTTATTTCTACAGTAAGGTTGACAAAGATTTTGATTCTATCAAGCAATTTTATTTGACATCTACGCTTCCTGGTATTAAAGAAATCGCTCTTATGGCATTAGGAACCATCAGACAACAACATAACTATGATTTGTTGATTTCAGACTTGGCTTTTGTTAAATCTCATGATTTCTTCTATATATGTTCCAGCTTAGGTCACAATATTAAGTTCAGAAATTCATTTGCTGAGTATTTTATGAGTAATTATGAGTATGTAAAGGAATTAATTTCTGACCCTGGAATGTTTAGACATTGCTTTGAGATGATATTTTCTGAAATTCATCAGGAGGAATTAAAAGATAAAGTTCTTGAATTTATTGAGAGTAAAAGAATTGATACCTCCTTGACAAGGGCAATTAATACAATTAAGGATTCCTTGAAATCAACTGAACAGTTGAGATCTGCTATTTTATCTTCTAATATATTTGGTAAAGAATAAATTCATTCATTATTATGTTTCAATTTATAATCACCATATTAAATGTACCAATGGATGTTTTATTGTTGGACGAAATTCAATCATTCTTTGACGGATTTATTAATTAAAATAGTTTAAATATTAAAAAGTAAACTCTCAGCAGTTGAATGTGTGTCTGTTATCCTTAAAGTTTGGAGTTGACTTTATTTACAACAAAAATTGATATTTTAACATCAAATAAGTGGGGAGAAATTATGAGATTAAAATATACAAATGGTAGAATAGCAAGATTTCTGAAAATTAGAATTAAACTATTATAAAGGAATGCTGGGAATAGCATATTATGAAGATAGTTAGTAATTCATTGAATCTAACATATTTCTGATTTGATAGACATAACTTTCAGTCTATATGCAATATAGGGAACTTACCGAAGAAAACACCTCCTTCATTGGATGTAAATGTTTAAAAAAATATTCATTCTCAAATATTAATTAATATTTTTGACAATCCTAGAATTAAAAGCTATAAAATTCTTCATACCATCTGAATACAGAAATATTAAGAAATTCTCCGAATCATTGTAATGATCAAAATCAAAATCCTCAATTTCCAAAAGTCTCAAACCCTCGCCCTTGGCTTCTGAAATATTCTGTATTGCACTTATTTTAACATCTTTTAAATACTGGCCTCCTATACCATTCAAAAAATATTTTGTCTGCATTATCTTTAAGGCAAGTAATTTAATACAACACATTGCATCAGTTATAGAATCATGTTCGGATGACTGAATATCCTCATTAAAAAACTTTTTGCTTAAAATATTAAGGCCTATTTTATATCCCTCGGAATTTAGAAATAAATAAGATGTATCTATTACATTTTCAGTATGAAATTTTAGTGATTCCAGATCATTTTCCAGCCCATGCCCAATTACATACGTATTCTTTCCTATAATATCTTGTAAATTTGAATGTAACTCCTCAAAAGTAATTCCAGTCGAGGTATTCTCCCGTGTCAATCCAGAATACTTTGTTAAATAATCCTTAACATTATGGATTGGTTGAACGTGCTTATCATATATTACATTTCCTCGATGGTCCACAATACTAACTCTTCCAACCTCAGATCCTAAATCTGTTTTGACCATTTCACAATCAATAGCTACCATGAAATAACTCGTTTCTTTTATTGGTTTATGGTAAGTTTCGAATACGGCTGTATTGAAATCTACATTACTGTTTATAAATGTAGAATAGCTAAATAGATGATTAACATCCTGTTTTTCAATACATTTAAGATTTTCTGGTGTTATATATCCTAAGTCTACATGAGCAACTTCCATAGAATTTAATATATTATAAAAGATTGTATTTATGGGCAACTGATCTATAATGCGTATTGACCTGGTGATATTTAATTTCAGCAAGTTAGAATTTAATGTACATTTTTGCTCTAAATATTTAACATTTCCCATAGCTGATTTTGTTCGTTTCTTAAATATTATTTTTGGCTTTTCATTTTCATAAGCTATCTTTAAATTACCATCATCTAGTATTTTTATATAGGTTGAGGCTTTTAAAATACTTTTCTTTTCTGAGTTTTGGTTGGATTTAGTTTTCTGATTACTAGATTCATTATAATCAGGAGTACATTTTAAACTGGTATTTCTTATTTCTACTCCAGATATTAGGTCTGGCATTAAAGCATTTCCATTTTTAAAATGGATTAGAGTTACTAACTTTGGTTGTGGCAATAACTGGATATAGCTGGGTCGTTTTTCCTTCAGAAATATGTATTTGAGAATTGATTGAATATCGATAATTTTCAAATATTTTGCTTTGGCCAAAGTTTTTGTCATTTGGGGCAAAATACAAAAGCACTGGAAGTGTTGATTTTTATAAATGTATTGCAAATAGATGAAGAACAATGATTGACCTACAATATTCATTTGTTTTTGTAAATGTTTATTTAACCCTAAATGGAATTTTCCTCAACCAATAAAAGGAATGATCTATACACTCGATTAAACATTTCTCTATATACCCAACTTGTAATTCTTCTAAGAAATCATAAAGAGTTGAAATATGTATGCACCTCTTCTTCACTAGCATTTAGAGTTGTTTGTCTATGTGACCTTGTGATTGATGGGAATATTTATATTGAAAACGGACTTATAAAGGTTAAGCATATTCCAAAGAACTCCATTTTGCACAGCTTTACAAATATTATTGCACAAAAGCATCTAGAGCCTTATAAGCTGATTAAAACTCTCAATGGAGAAAGAGGTCGAGAAAATTCGATAAAACATCTCAAATCCAAAATCTATCGAGAGTTAGAACGACAGGATTTCATTGAAAAATTTAGTGGGAATGTTTTTAATAAGATTATTATTAAAAATAGTTCCATATGGTTGAAAATCCATACACAAATAATAGAAGATTGCAAAAGGGGAATAAATAACTCCACGGCATGCATTTTGATTTGCTTGGAATACATCAATAAAATGGAAAGTCTTCTTCTACAATGTAATGAAAAGGATGCAAGAATTGTTGTAGAAGGGCTACAGATTGCAAAAAGTAGAGCTATTTCAGGAGGTTACGGACTAGAATACGAGTTTTTACGAGCACTTGTTAAATAAATGTTCATTTAGATTTTTAGTTATTTCGTTTTGAGAGCCAATTAGTAGACTGTAAAATAAAGATATATAATCTGTTTATCACCAACAAATATTCTACATACCTATTTCCTTCTTCTAATTTTGAAAAAACCTTAAAGTAAACTTTGATAGTTTAAACCAACAAATTAAAAGCATAAACCGATAAAAGATAATTTAAAAGTTTTTATTATACCCATGTTGATCGATGATAACAAGGAAAATACATCTATAAAATTTACGACAATTGATGATTTTGAAATGGGAAGTCCAGTGGGAATGGGGAGATTTGGGCAAATCTGGACAGCTAAACACAAGCTGACTGGATTTATTGTTGCCATAAAAATAATTGCCATTAATTCTGTTCGTCATAAATCAGAAGTGAAAAATATCCGAAGAGAAGTGGAGGTCCATCTGAGCTTAGACCATCAAAATATTTTACAAATGTATGGATATTTCTATGATTGTATAAGTTTGTATTTGGTTATGGAGTATGCTGGAGGTGGAGATTTGTGGCTTTATGCTAAGGATTATCGGCATAAATTTTCACGAGAAATTCCAGAAAAAAGTGTTGCCAGTTTTGCACTTCAACTCTGTAGTGCCCTTAGATACATGCATTCAAACAATATTATTCACCGAGATATTAAACCGGAAAATATTCTTATTGGATGTGATGGATCAATCAAGGTTGCAGACTTTGGTTGGAGTGTATATAACGGAGATTCCCGCCGACAAACCTTTTGCGGGACTGTAGAGTATTTACCTCCAGAGCTATGCAAAGATGAAGTTTATGACTTCAAGGCAGATGTTTGGTGTGTGGGTGTACTTGTTTTTGAACTTTGTACTGGTAAAGCACCAATTTCCGGTAAATATAGTTTGAATTCCGTTAAAAAGAAAATTTTAACTGAAGATATTGTGTATCCATCGTATCTTTCAGAAAATGCTATCAACTTCATATCCAAATGCTGTAAAAAAGATCCAAATACAAGAATAACGATGGATGAAGCCCTAAATCATCCATTTCTGCGTTCCTATATTCCAAAAGCTCAAAAAAATTAAAATGTTTAAAGTACACTCAAAGCTGTTTTATTTATATTTGTTAACTTTATCAAAGCAATCCATTAAGTGCAAATATCATATAGTAGTATAGTCCAATGCTACATATCAGCATTTCCTCAATAAACCTCAATATTCCACTAAATGCGTACCTATGCATATTATTAGACTTCTTAATCATGTTTATTTCAGCAAACCACATTAGTAGTCCGTAGAAAATCAGAATTGTTGAAACCAAGTAGATTAATGAAATATTTTGCCTAATGAATCTTTTTGGAGACATCTGAATTGAAACCTGAAGAAATGTGAGAAAAAGTTCAACACCAAAACACGTAACTATAAATGCAACTGCATGGCAGATAAAGGACATTATTAGTTCATAAACTGTTAGATGAGATGAATAATTGTCGAATACTTCCGAGAATCGAACTATTGTGTAATATATTTTGTCATTTCCTAGTTTTGAAAAAAACAGGAAAATATTCTTGCTCAAGGTAAGCAAATAAGTTACAAAAAGAATATTCGTTACCAAGCCAAAGCTTTTATGGATTGATTTGTTGTGATTAAATAGATATCGCTTTAATGAACACAGAAGGTATGCGTGTATACAGATTGGGATTAACAATAATATTAAAACCAAAAATACAACAGTCGAAAGTGGAGTAAAGTTTAGTTCAAACATAAAAGAAAGTGTTTCTGGTATTGACCGCAAGCATATTAGTTCTCTATATACCACCCATAAACAAGCCATATCGACCACACACATAATGCAGATAATTTTGCAAAGTATCATTTTGAGGTGTTTTGTAAAAGTAAATAAATTTAAAATGCGGGAAACATCGGAAAATCTATCTTAATAGATGAGTTATAGTGTTCATAGGAGGATTTCACTGAAATTTGGAGAAATGATATTAAGTTTTGTCCAAATTCAAACTTTTATTACATAATTTCAACAGAATCATGAAGAATAGCTAGATCTATGCATTTAACACCATAATATCTGTATTCAGTAGAATACAGCTGCAAAATTTAAAATTTTATCACTGAAACCTGTATACTAATTCAGAAAGATTTTTATATTTAGAAGAAAAAGACATATTTGTAAAATATTTAACCGGAATGCTACATCGAATACTTCAGATTGATTATTGCAGAGATTTAATAAATAATTCACTTATTTACCCATATTTTCCGAAATCCATGAGTTTTGTTCAATACAAGAATGGCCTCCTCTATTTGAATTTGAAAATATTACCAGGAAATTCCGAAACAATATTTATCAAATGGGATGCCGACACACTATTCGTTAAGGTTGCAGCACCTGCGGAAAAAAATAGAGCAAACAGAGAATTAATCAAATATCTTTCAAAAGTATTTAAAGTCCAGAAGTCCGATATTAATATTGTTTCTGGAGTAAAATCCCATAACAAAATAATTCGATTCCCTACAGTTATTGAAATCAAAAATGTATTACAAACTATAGAATTGGAAATTAGAACCTTATGTTTATGATCAGAATAGGAAAGTCCTCACTATTCCATCTTGTAAAGGAATTTTCACTTCCTAACTAACTATATTATTAAATAAACCTAAAATACTTAATTGTAACTCAATTTACCTATGTTTATCTCATGATCTGAATCAATCTTTAATAATTGCATGGCTATCAATACTTTTACTCTCTTATCAATCATTATTTCTAAATACTAATCTATTACATTATAAAGTTTATACTTTTTCAATGATATGTAAATATGGGATCAAATACCCTTTCATATAAGTTGTATCTATATCCAAAAACCACAGTTGTGAAGTTGGCATGGGCATTTAGCTCAGTGGCAGAGCCTCCGGCTGCAACCCGGTATGTCGCAGGTTCGATCCCTGCAGTGCCTTTTTAAATTATATTCTTATTTTTATACATAACAACATTTCTTGCTTATCATAAATAACAATGTTTAATGAATTTATAATATTTCTTGCTTGAATTATAAATTGATATACTATTTTATAGCATTGGTGTATAATTCGATCATTCAAAAAATTAAAACTCATCTGATAAACTCATTTATTTTTTGATAACTCATCTAGAGCCTTATCTATGTCACCCTTTGCTTTGATAAGTGCCTCAATATTATCCTTCCTGTCTCTGAATCCCATTTCCTCAAGACTTCTCAGCTGTGTGGCATACACGAGTTCTGCATTCTTTCCTGTTGGTTTGCCATCCACATAGGTTAGTGGATAAAACCCATGTTCACATGGGCCATTAGCTGGGGGTGCCACTTTATTATTCATCATTTGATTGTTCATATACGGACTATTACCATAGTATGGCATTCCATAACCTCCATTCATCATTGGATTGTACATCATTGGGTTGTACATCATATTTGGACTATTCATACCATTGGGAACTCCCATACCATTCATCATATTTGGACTGTTCATGCCATTAGGAGGTCTCATGCCGTTCATTACATTTTCCATCATGGCTGGGTTAATACCACCCATTCCTGGAAAGTTTTGCATCAAACTCTTCATCATTTCAGGATTCTGAGCGAGGGAACTCAATGACTGTAGACACATTTGCATTTGCTCTGGAGACATATTAGGATAAACCATCCTTAATGTGCTTTCTAAAGCTTCTGGATTTTTCATCAAGTTTGCAATCATGTCTGATTGCATATCAGGGATTCCTGTAAATTGTTGGCCAGGATTACTATGAGGATTTTCTGTCGATACCTTTTCACTAGATCCCTTGGATTTACTATCACTTTTTGATTCTGCCATATTCTTGACTAGCACATATATTTTTGAAGATTCATCTATTTTACAATCTTCCAATGTAATGGAGAAGTCTTCGACTTTTTTACCATTGGCAAATACGATGATCTTTCCCCCATCTTCCTTAGAATATTTTGTTGACTTGGATTTTAATGCAGAAACTATACCATTAATGGTTTTTTCTTCTAATTTATCTGTATCAATTTCTATATTTTCTCCTAGAAACTTTACTTCCATTAAGGGTTACAAAAAAAATATATTATTAAAAATAAACAAATAAAAAGAAGGATAATAAGTGGCCAATCTTAAACCAAAAGATATGGCTTTGGGATAAAAATTAAGGTTGAAATTTATAAAAGAGTGTGGAATCGTTACAATCTCATGTGGAAATATGTTGAAAATCAAATGTATTCGTCATCTCGATTCATTACAATAGAGATGTTTCATGGAAAATCATTTGTTCAAGCAATCCAATTTAACACAAATGACTATTATCTTGTATGCTGCTATAATTCTTAGAATTTCTTCCAGACTTACAATATTCTTAGCTCGATTAACATCAAAAGTAACGAACTCAGCACTAAAGTCGTTTCAAATGATTCAAGTAATTAATTGAGAATAGTAGCTATACTATTTATCACTTAGTTACAGCAGAGCTCACACCCGATAGATATTGAATAGAACAAACTTGGGAACATCTACCCAAGTATTCTAAGTTGACTTTCGAAGCAGATAATTTATTAATTATATATCAATGAAATTTACTGATTTGGTGTGATAACACTAGGGTAGACATGGAAAAATGATCTATTATTCATATTATGCCAACGATAATCGTTTCTTATAGCTTCAAAAACAGTTTTGTTGTATTGCTTAGGATCAATTTCCAAATTATAATTCAATATGTTAATAACCAAAGCTTCGTTGTAGTTGATTAACTTAATATCAATATTGAAAAGCTCGGCAAAAAATCCATTTGATCTTGGTGAATCCTTTAAGACTTTCTCAGATAAAATACAGCACACATAGAAAACCTTCACCAAACACTCGAATTTTGAAAACTTTTTTTGAAAATTTGTGGCATATTCTTTGAAGAACATAAACCCGACTACAATCGAAGTTTGCGAAAATATTAAGATGATTTTATCAAACCAATATTTATAATCGTTTATAAATGGTGCTGAAAAGAACATATCTGTCACTGTTCGAAAAATATAATCTGAAATTTTGTTTTTCAGACCAGAAAGTGGATTGGGATTAGTTCTATAGAAGATTTCAGATCCCCCATCACTCTTTGAAAACTTGTAAATATATTGTTCAATTTCATAATTAGTTTTTACGCCTTTACAGCCTATTATGCCTTCTGTTAGAATCTTATGGTTCTCACAAAAATTAGATCGTGAGTTGGCATATGGTGTATTTAATCTGTTTTTTGAATAATACTTATTGCTAGGAGATTCGTAAATTTGCTGGTTCTCCCGTAAAATATTTTTTCTCTCAAATTCATCAGTATTCATTGACTTCATTCGGTAACATTTTGCAATATCTGCTAATATCCCAATATGACAATCTTGGCTGGAAGATGTAGTTGATTTGCTATACGCATGGCTCGCTTCATAAATGAATTTTGTGTGCATAAGCGGCAAAAAAAAATAGTTTTTATTTATTTGATCAATGCTTTATTTTTAATGATATCATTAATTTCAATAAATAAACTTGATAAATAAAGAATTTTAAATGACGAAAGTAATAAAAGTTGTTTAGAAACCTAAACAAAGTTTTTATTTCTTAATTCCCAAAATGATTAATTGAATTTCTACTGAAGGGAGTTTGTGGAATTGAAAGTTCTAGAATAATATTGCTTTCAAAATAGGGAACTAAGAAAATTATTGATTTAATTTCTATGGAGTTCAAAAT